CATCCCCAGTAGGAGATGTGCAGGAGGCAGCGTGATCGATGTTTCTAACTCTCTATCTCTCTCCCTTCCTCTCTGTAAAAAATCAATAAAATATATTTTTTAAAAAAACAAAACATCTTGTCCTTGGATTAAGAATATTGCCCTAGCCGGCTTGGCTCAGTGGATAGAGCATCAGCCTGCAGACTGAAGGGTCATGGGTTTGATTCTGGTCAAGGGCATGTACCTTGGTTGCAGCTCCATCCCCAGTAGGGGGTGTGATGGAGGCAGCTGATCAATGATTCTCTCTCATCATTGATGTTTCTCTCTCTCTTCCTCTCCCTTCCTCTCCCTTTCTCTCTGAAATCAATTAAAAAAAAAAAAAAGAATGTTATCCAATTACAAAAAGGCACAGACACCTGCTTTTTAAGGCATTTCCTGTGCCTTTTGCATTGGGATTTACAGTTACCCTTTTGTGGCTCGTTGGTGGGAGGAGGTTGCTTCCAGGCCAAGCTCTAGAGGCCCCTGGGGCAGTGGCTGACTGGTGGAGCCTGAGGGGCAGGTACTCGCCTCCCTCACCCAAACCACATCCCAGAAATGCCTGTGTGTGCATCCAAACGACCACAGGAGGAGCCTGGTCTGCCCACGCCCTGATTTGAAATTTGGAAGCTAAGATCCTGTGGGCCTGCCCTACTCCTGCTAAATGAGTGGCCCAGGCAGGAAGAACCCAGCGGACCCAGGCACCCAGCAGCCACTGCAGAGGGAGCTGGCGCATTGGGAAGGCTCTCAGTTTAGGCAGAGGAAGCTTGAAAGGTGAGGAGGGCTTTCATGGGTAGGCCCACCAGGGTGGAAGGCCCTCTGGTCCATTTCTGGTTCAGAAAAAGGGCTGAGGAGCCTGGGGCCCATCCTCAGGGTCTCCGGAGAGACCCAGATACTGAGGGACTGCTGACTACATCACCCCATTCCTGGCCCCCTTTGGCCGTGTGCCCTCTCTCAGAGGGAGAGGTGGGAAGAGGACATCCAAGGCTTGCCTCCCCTGTCTCAGCTCATATGCCCTTAAATCCAGAGAGTGGGGAGGCAAAGTCTTCAGGGCACCCTTCCCCTTCCCGAGCTGGCTGGCTGACCCGTGACTGAGAAACTAGTGGCAGAAGCAAAGGAATGAAGAGGGTGGGAGGAAAAATAGGTAGGCAATAGGGGAGCAGGAAGGAAGGGACAAAGGGGGAAACAGGAGAGAAGAGAAAATATCACCTCCTATAAAACAAAGGTTTCCATAACTCCAGGGACAAAGCCACAAATCTGAGGAAGATATGTGAATGCCTCTCTCTCAGTAATTGATAAATTAGCAAACAAACAAACAAAAGATGAATAAGGGTATGGAGGATCTGGATATCACCATCAGTAGATTTGACCAAAAGTATGCCTAGAGAGCCCTGTACCCAATGATAGGGGTTAGGATATTCAAATAGACATGAGCATTTACAAACACTGGCAATATAGTCAGTCTCCAAAATAAAAACCAGACAATGGATATCATACAGACCATGCTCACTGGATATGATTCACATTTGAAAAAAATTTACAAAACACATAAAAAAATCACTTGAAATTTTTAAAAACTTCTGGACAATTCACAGCTCAGAAAGGGAATATTCTGAGCTATAATGAAAACACGTACAGAACAATTCAGGTGCAGCCAACGCAGTACTCTGAGGGAAATTCATAGCCTTCAAAAGGCTTAAACATTTAGAGTTAAAATAAGAAAGATTGAAAAGTAATTATTTGGTTTCAACTTGAGAAGGTAGAGATTTTGAGAGGAAGGAGGAAGAGAAAGAAAAGGAAGCAAGGGAAAGAGAAAGGGTAATAGAATTTTCTAAGCAGAGTCTCTGAGAGGTGGAGGATCAAGCCCCAGCTTCTCTCCCTGTCCTGATCCTTCTCTCCTAATGGACCTTCCTCTCTCTACAACCCCAACCCATGCACTGGGATGTGGCTAAAAACAGGGAAGGGTAGAGCTGAATGCTCAGTGTCCAGCACACTAGGTAAGTGGTGATTTTGTCCCCAAGAGGACAATGGGTGTGCCTGAAGACATTTGTGCTTGTCACAACCGGGGGAAATTGATGCTACGGCCATCAGATGGGTGGAGGCCAGGATGCTACTCAACACCCTGCAGTGCATGGGTCGCCCTCACCACCAAGAATGATCTGGCCCCAGCCTTTTTTTTTTATTATTAGTTTTTCTTTTTCTTTTTTGGCCACAGCCTTAGATGTCAACAGGGTGAAGTTAGAAAACCCTGCTCGAGGCAGCGGCAATTACCTGGGAGGCTGCCTGGAGGATGCCACGGCCATCAGGCTCCCTGTGTGGGGTTGGAAGGTGTGGACAGCCTCGTCGGTGTATAGGCCACCATCCTGCCGGTGGTTCAGGCTCACCAGGTCAGTCATCACCACCAGTCCTGTTTCCTAGACAACAGACAACAAGAGACCCACAGCGGGGAAGTGGGTGTAATGTCCCCAACAGTTGTCATCACCCTGAGGCCACTGACCCAACATTGCTTCTGTGGCATGGCCCTGCCTGCAGCAGGCTTGGTGACATGGACTGAGGGGGTCATGGCACCCAGTGACCATCCAGGACAGAACAGAGGAGAGGCCAATACATCTGTGGCTCAGACAGGCAAATCCACAGAGACAGAGAGCAGATTGGTGGTTGCCAGGGGTGGGGAAGGGGAAATGGGGAATGACTGCTAATGGAGATGGGGTTTCCTTTTGGGGTGATGGGAATGGTTTGGTACTAGACAGAGGCAGTGGTTGCATCGAATTGCAAATACACTAAAGGCCACTGAATTGTTCACTTTGAAATGGTTCAATTTCCTGTTGTGTGACTTTCACACACACACACACACACACACACACACACACACACAATCAATTGTTGTAGTGCCTGATCCAGACCAAGGGCCAGTGACTGTCACAATTATCTTCCTCACTCTGCTAATTATTGGGACAACTGCACTGAGGGTAAGCCCCGTCCTGGACGGGCCGACTCTGCTTTGTGCACAGAAATGCAAACCTAGTTACTCTGACTCAGAAACAGCACCTCCTAATTCCCAAAGCTTCCAGGACCCAGGGGTTCAAATCGCCCGGCATTCAACAAGCACGTAATTGAAACTTCATTTGTTCCAACATAGGTCTACAGGCATAGAGAGATATGTAATAAATATATTTTAGCTAACATAGCAAAATAAGTCATTTGTTCAAATATACTATATATGTTTTATATATGTAGTTTTTAAGATAATTTTTAAAACTATTACAGCGAAAGGTTAATTGTGAGATCTAGGTGGTAGGTATACAGGTATTTATAAATTTGTTCAACTTTTCCAAATGTATGGAAAATTCCATAGTAAAAACGGTGTGTGTGTGGGGGGGTGCCTTTTTAAAACGGGAAGAAAAGCACCTTCAGATGGGACATGCATTCGAGTGGAGACCATCGGCATGTAAGGTGGGCTCCCAGCCTGACCTAGACTGACAGACCTAGACTGACACTTGTACACATGGCGGCTGCTGGCACCAGCCCCGCCCTTGTAGCCAGGACGGAGAGGGGTGGACGGGAGCTACAGATACCATTGCCTGAACCCACCACCTGAGAACACAGCCACCTACTCCCCTTGTGAAGGTTTTCCTGAACATCACTGCTCCCTATCAAGTTCAAGTTGTCAGTCCGTGCTGAGAACCGTTCTGCTCTCATCTGCCTTGCACACTGGCAGAGACTGGGGGCGGAGGGGGGGGGAGCGAGGGGGAGAGCGGGGGGTTCCGCTTATGAGCTTTCACTGGGGAGAGTGGCAAACAAGTTCTGCAGCAATGAGTTTGGGAGCCTCCACCCCCCACCCCAACTCTGTATCCCCAAGACCCTTTGTTTCAAAATGAGAAGAGCACAGAAGTGAGTTCCCAAGACCACCCCTCCTTACGGCGAAGGCAAACCCAGAGTCCTTGATGACGCCCCAGAGCCAGAGGAAGACGAAGGAGCGCCGGCGGCGGCGAGCGGCCAGCCCAGCCCACCAGAGGGGTCCATCCTCCCACGACACCCTGAAGGCATCAGACACGTCGTACTCTTCCAGTTCCTGGAAAACCTACAGGCAAGCGGGGAGTGGGGGTCAGTCAGCTAAGGGTTTCTTTCCAGCCCAAACTGGCTCCCATGGGGCTGGCGTGCTCCCGTCTCAACCTCCTTTCCCATACATCACTGAAGACAAGCTTAGGGGACAGGCACTGGTGGTGTCAAACACAATATAAAGGGAGCCCTTTAAAACGAAGCCGGAGCGGCCATGCCAGAGGAACTGCCTTGCACGACGTATGCCTCCAACACTTGGAATGTGAAAACCGGGCAAGATAACCTGTGGACGAGGCCTAAAGCAACATTGTGCCCCCAAGAACTGCTTGCAAAGGTAACAAGAAAGCAGTTATTATAACTACCAGACTGATGACTACTAGGCTGAAAAGATTTAAAAACCGTCTAGAATTAGCATCACTACGTTATGTTACCTGCACCAACAGAAATGCCTTCCTCCTACTGATGTAATTATTCCCCTTCCCTTTCTCTAAACACCCTTTGCCTTTGTCCCCTAACCGGACACTATTTGGGCTTCTACCGGAATCAGTGAGTCCCTCGTAGCTCTTCTTATCGATCTAGAATAAATGCTTGTTGCCTCTCACTTTGAAATTCCTCTTATTTTTAGGTTGGTAGCGGCATTAGCCCATTTTAAAGATGGGCAGACTGAGGCCGGTGAGGTGAGAGCTGGGCAAAGTCATGCCCAGGTCTTCTGAATTTGACTCCAAGATCTTTCAACTGCACAGAAGCAGCGACAAGGGGTGGTTCACTGAGAAATGAGCCCCACGGAGAGAGGGTATGTGGATTCACACCCGGCTCTTCACTTGCTGACAAGCAAGCGACCCCTGGGGAGGTACAGGAAGCCGGCACTCACCTGGGCGGGAGTCAGCCGGAAACCAGACCTCAGCAGGTAGACGCTCTTATCAACCACAGCGACACACACGCAGCTGCCCCTGGCAGCCCTGACCCGCAGGTCCACAACCTCCCCGGGCTGCGTCTCATTCGCTGAATACGTCAGTGAAACCTGGACCCAAACACAGCAGAGAAATCAGGAGCTGGGCCCAAACCTCCCAAACCGCCCCTTACCCTCTCCCGCTGCCTAGAAGCCTTGGTCCTCGCTAGCCCAGCCATCCAGGTGAGGACACAGGGGAAGGCAGAGTGACAGGAACCAAGCTGGTGCAACTGGGACATTCTGTGCACAGGATGGGAGGGTGGGCATGGGAGACAGGCGCTGGCCGAGGGCGTGTTGCAGCCAGGTGTGCAGGGTGCAGGGAGAGGGCAGGCTGAGCCCGCTGTTGGGGCATAAGCCGTGTTCCTTAGGTCGGAGCCCAGTGGGGCAGAGAACGGCTTTTCGCTGTGTGTGCTGAATGCAAATCCCCATCTGGGTGACTTCTGGAGAAGCTCCAGCTAAGATGAACTTAGGTTCTGGTTATTCCCGAAGGCAGGGCAGCCCTTACAAGTCCTGCTTGTGGCGCCACCATGTGGCAGCTGTGCACAGCCCGCCCGCATTGACACTCTGGGGTTCCCAGCCCTGGATGGCGATTGACACCCTGGGGTCCCCCCAACCCCCACCCCGTTGGGATCCCGATGTTCTACCTGGTTTTCAAAAAAAGTCTCCACAGTGAACTGGACGCTGTCGGCAACCCCTTCTCCATTCTCCCTGACATAGAAGACCAGCAGGCGGCTGAGGGGGACCATGCTGGGGGTCACGGACAGTTGGAGAGAGGTCATGCATACGCTGAGCTCAGCAGCTGGGGCTGGAGGGGGCTCTAAGACAAGTCAAAGGTGGGAGAGGTGGGGGAGCCAGCACTCCACGGCGGACCCCCCAATGCCCAGGCTGCACAGCGCAGGGAGGGGCTGGCTCAGGCCCAGTGCTCCCAGAGGGAAGGGAAGCAAAGCCCCAGAGGACGAAGGTGAACAATGCCTAGAGCCCCACTCGGGCCAGCAGCTCTCACCCAGGGCGATGCTGCCCCCTAGGGGCCATTCGGCAATGTCTAGGGACATTTGTGGTTGTCACAACTTGGAGGTGCTACTGGCATCTAGTGGGTGGGGCTGGCATACTGATCAACACCCTGCAGGGCACAGGGCAGAGAAAGATCCGCCCTAAACACCAGCAGGGCCAAGGGTGAGAAAGTGACTTAGCATGAGAGAGGAGACCCTGTCTTCCTGTCTGTCTATGAATCTATGCATCTATCTACCCATGAGTCTGTCTGTCTATCTATCTATCTATCTATCTATCTATCTATCTATATCTATATCTATTTATCTACCAATCCATAAATCAATTTGTCTATCTGCCTATCTATCTATAAGTCTATCTATCCATGAATCTATGTATCCACCTATGAATCAATCTATCCATGAGTCAGTCAGTCTGTCTAGCTGGCTGTTTGGGTATCTACCCATCCATCCATCCATCCATCATACTTTTCTCTTCCCTTCCTTCTTTCCATACATCCATCTGTCTGTCCTTCTATTCACCCATCCATTCCTCCATCATCTGTCTATCTACCTATCCATCTATCTATAAATCTATCCACCTATCTCAGGGATTCTCACCCAAGGTGACTTTTCTCCCTAGGGACACGGGTGATGTCCGGGATTGTTAGGTTGTCACTGCGTGTGGATGGCTGTAACTGACATCTGGCGGGGGGAGACCAGGGATGTTGTTTCACACCCTATGGTGCCCAGGACATCCCGCCACGAGGATGGCTTGCCCTCGAGCTCCCACAGTCCCCACTTTGGAGATCCTGCTTTAGGCAACAGGCTGTGAAAAGGAGGAAGACCCTGGACAGAGGGGTCTCGTGAGGAGCACACGGAGTCCAGGAGAAGAAAAAAACAGGACTCCCAGGTGCGGCAACAGCCTGGGCAAAGGCTGAAGGGGGCTGGCAGGAGGCACCATAGCAGAGTGTGGGCCAGTGCAGGGCCCGCCTACTGCCACCTGCCCCGTCCCCTGTGGACACACAGTAAGGACCTCTCCACCTGGAGCCGCTGGCCACCCTGCCATCCTGGCCCCAGCCCCGTCTCACTAGGGACACGTGCCCTGCGCCCTGAGGCAGGCTCGCCTCTTGGCTGTGTCTGGTTACCCCTTCTCTCCGGGGCACCTGTCCCCGTCTCCACGGCCGAGAAGGAGGAACGGCACCTCCAGCCTGCAGCCAGCTCACCTGTCTCCGAAAGGTGTGTTAAGCGAATCGGCTCCTCCGGGGCTGCCCGCCTGCTTCTCTGCTGGGTGATGCGGGCAGGCTGCTGGCCGGAGAGCACGATGTTGCCCCGGGCAGCCACCTCGTAGTGCAGGGTGAGATTGCAGGCACACGTGGACGTCACGGGAAAACGGGCTTCTTCCCCGACCTGCGGGAAACAGACGGCGGGGCTGGCCCTGCTGGTACCCACAGCCTGGCACCAACGCCACGGCCAGCCCTGGGAGACGGCCACCCTGGGGCGACAGGGGGCTGGGAAGGCTAAGGGAGGAGTGCTGGCCTTAGGGCAGGTCACCCATGTCCGGTCCTGGCTGTGGCCATGTCCCCCTGGCAGCCTCACTGCTGCCCTACAAATGCCGTCCTGGGAGCTCTCCATGAGGCGTCGGGTAGTAAAGATTTAACCTGGTCCAAAGAGAGGGCTGGCCTTCGCCCTCAGCTCCTAACAGGGGATCTCCCAGCCCCTGAGGTGTCCTGCCAAATACGTGTCTTTGTTGACCTACGGTCTTGGGCCACACCAGCTTCACCTCTGGAGGGGCTGGGACTGAGGCCAGCCATGCAGTGGCCAGCTGTGTCTATGAAACTGACCCCCCATAAAAACTCTGGATGCTGAGGCTCAGATGAGCGTCCTGGTGGGCAGGACACCAGGCATGTGGTCACACATTTTTGCTGGGAACGTAACACAGTCTGTGACTCTGTGGGGAGAGGATGATGGAACCTCACCTTCAGGATGTTCCTGGACCCTGCCTCTTTCTGGGCTGATTTTTAAAAATATATATTTTATTGATTTTTTATAGAGAGGAAGGGAGAGGGATAGAGAGCTAGAAACACCGATCAGCTGCCTCCTGCACACCCCCTAACTAAGGATGTGCCCCCAACCAAGGTACGTGCCCTTGACCAGAATCAAACCAGGGACCCTTCAGTCCTCAGGCTGACGCTCTATCCACTGAGCCAAACCGGTCAGGGCTGGGCTGGTTTTAATCTATATCTTTCACTGTAATAAACCATAACTGTGAGCATAACAGCTGGCAGTGAGTCTGTGAACTCCTCCTTGAAATTGAAAAACCTGAGGATAGTCTGGGGACCCCCAAACTCTGCAGTTGGTGTCAGGAGAGAGGGAGTCTTGGGGCATCTCCCTAACTGAGCAGGTGCCAGTGCTGGCAGTGGGCTGGCCCTTCTCAGCGAACATAGACATTCGATCCGAGGAAAACCCCATCGCTGGAGGGATGGGGGCTCCAACACCAGCATCAGCACTGGCCCTGCGGGGGCGTGTGCAGGCCCCTGGAGGCAGGGGAACAAGCCCATCGGAAGCCTTACCTGCAGGGGGCGGGCGGGCGGCTGCAGCTGCAGGTAGCACTGGCTTGGGGAGTACCAGCTGCTGAGAGACAGGTAGCTGGGCAGGTACTGGGTCCCCACAGGCTTTCCGTTGAGTGCCGTCACCTTGGCCTGAGGAGGAGAGGGTGCTTGGTCAAGGCCTGGGTGCCTGGAGTAGGAAGCGAATCTTGGGGATGCGTCTGCCTGTCCAGCCGTGTAGCAAGACCCTCTCAGGCTCCAATTTCCCCTTTGGGGACCCCCCTCCCCGATTCTCAGTCAATGGCGTTTAGTGTGGCCAGCCTGTTCTTCCCAGCTCTGTGGGAAACACGTGTCCAAGACTGGCCACGGGGTGTTGGGGGTTGGCTAGGGAGGGACAGGTTGCCACTTGGCCACTGGGTGACAGTTCCACCACCTATTAGGGAACGCCGCCCCTCCCAGGCTCGCCAGCAGCCAGGTGGCTTCTAAAGGGAATCAGCTGCATGGGAAGTGAGCACCGGGGAGAGGGCATCAGGGGAGGGCCCGTTGTGCGGACAGCATCCCAGGGGCTCTGGACCAGCCCCGCCTGCAGCTCACGGCCCTTCTCCTGCCTGGCCCAGGTCCCGGTGGCTACACCACTATTGCTCCTCGAGGGCTGGCACCTTTACTGGATGCTGAAAGAACGTGGCTAACACAAGGGAGGCCTCAGAGGGGGCAGTTTAGACCTGTGTGTGGTGCAATACACAGATCTTGTAACATAGAACCCTATATGTTCACGTTGATCAATGTCACTCCAATCAATTTGATAAAAATTAAAATACCCATGTGTGATAAAGAATAAAGACGTCGGCAGCTTCAGTCCCGCTCCTGGGAGGTAGCCCTAGCCCCCTGGAACGTCCCAGGTGCTGTGAGCTCGTTGTGTATGGAGGGCCCCGATAACATATGCTAACGAGACAACTCGGGATGGGAACAGCCACACCAGAAAGACCAACCATGTGATTAGAGGGCTGGGGGTCTGAGACACGTGATCTCAGCCTGACCTCCAGGGAGGGGAGGTAGCGGGAGACTTAGTTGAGTCTTAGGGCCCATGATTCAATCAGTGGCACCCACATCATGAGACCCCAACAAAATCCGTGGGCACCAAAGCATAGTGAGCGCCCCTGGTTGGCTGTTCTTTGTGTCTGTCATGACATGTGGGTGAGTCAGGGTCCCGCCTCCATGGCGATGGCACAAGAAGCTTCAAATCTGGGACCCTCCCGCTCTCGCCCTATGATCTCGCTCTTTACTTTATCCTAACTTGTATTGTCTATAATAATAAAAGCGTAATATGCTAATTAGACCGGACGACCTTCCGGACGTAGCCGGGGCTGCAAGGGAAGCCCGGGTCCCGGGTGCCTGCCAATGGCCATAGGGAAGCCGGTGCCGGCAGCAGCCGGGGGAAGGAAGGCCTACTCTTGCACGGATTTCATGCATCGGGCCTCTAGTTCTATTATAATAAAACTGTAATGGCCAAAGGTATGAACTTCCAGTTACAAACTAAATAAGTCCTAGGGATGTAATGTGTATCATGGGGACTATAGTTAACAACTGTGTATTATATATTTAAAAGTTGCTGAGAAAGTAGATCTTACAAGTTCTTCTCACAATAAAAAATTGAAGGTGTGTGTGGCGATGGATGTTAGCTAGACTTACTGTAGTGGTCATTTCATAATGTGTACGTATATTGAATCACTGTTATACAACAGAAACTAATATAATGTTATATGTCAATTATATCTCAATAAAAATAATTAGATAGTTTAAAATTGGCTCTGCTTTAAAAAAAAAGAATTAAAGACTTTTTCCTAAGCAGTATTTGGTAATAGAATAGAATATCTTCCCAGTAAAGTAACATTTTTGGAAAAAGCTAATTTTTTTTATTAGTCCTAAGCTGAGGATAATTTTTCCATTGATTTTTAGAGAAAGTGGGAGGGAGGTGGGAGGGAGAGACGAGAGAGAAAGAGAGAGAGAAACATTGATGTGAGAGAGACACATCTACTGGTTGCCTCCTGTATGCGCCTTGACCCAGGCCGGGGATCGAGCCTGCAACCAAGGTACATGCCCCAGATCAGGAATCGAACCAGTGACCCTTCAGTGTGCGGGCCAATGCTTTCACCACTGAGCATACCGGCCATGGTGAAATATATACTAGTAGCTGTGAGAGAAAATTATTTGGCTAATTCTGATATTTGAGTCATTTGGGGGCTTTGCAGCTACTTACTTGCTAAAGGACTAATGGAAATAAAGGAATGTCTTTCAATTATTAAAAATTAAAAAACAGCCCTAGCCAGTGTTCTCAGTGGTTAGAGCATTGGCCAGTGCACCAAAGGGTCATGAGTTTGATTCCTGGTCAGGGATATGTACCTGGGTTGCAGGTTCAATCCCTAGCCCTGGTCAGGGTGCATGCAGAAGGCAACCAATTGATGTGTCTTTTCTCTCTCTCTCTCCCCCCCCACTCCTTTTCTCCCTTAAACTCTGTCTAAAAACCAATGGAAATCTCTCTTCCCCTCTCCTCCTTTTCTCCCTTAAACTCTGTCTAAAAACCAATGGAAAAAATACCCTCAGGTGAGGATTAACAAATAAATAAACAAACAAACAAGCTTGTAGTTGTAAGATAGTGGGCAGCAGGAACAGCCAGTTGGTAAAAAGTGTGAGTGACTGGGGACCCCCAAGCTGTGTCTTTGGTGGTTTAAAATCTTTAAGGATGTGTTGGCCTCAGGGGACACAGAGACCACAAGTGTCTTCAGCTCCCACCTACATATTTATTCTCAGCTACCCCCTGTCCTCACCATCCCAGTGCCATGGGGTCGTCACAGAGCCGGGACCCCCTCTTCCATCTCTCCTGCTCTTCCCTCCTCTACCCGTCGGACACCAAGTCCCACTGATTCTACCTCAACAGCCCAGGCTTGGTGTCCTCTCATCATCATCTCTCATGTGCCCACCTGGGGTGCCCCCCCCACCTCCCCCTACGGGCACTGGAGCAGCTGCTGGGGGTTAAAATTCAAATCACTCTGTCCCCTGACACTACCTTCTGGGTAAGCCCCAAGCATCCCTGGGAGGTGGGGGTTAGCCCCGTTGGCTCCCTCCTCCATATCTTTCTGAAATGGCTCAGCCTGGCTGGGTACTTGCAGGACCCAATTGCACTATGGTGGTCCTCTGGGCTTCTGCATATATTGTTCCGCCTCCCAGAAGCAGCCTCCCGCCTCGCCCTGGGACAGCCAAGTTATCTGTTCCCACGCTGGGTTCCCCCATCAGACTGAACTCCCTCGGGGGAGGGGGCCTCCCAGGCCCACCGAGTCCATGCCTGCTGGCCGAATGACAAGGGTCCGGGGACTCACCCACCTCCAGCCACACATGCTGGGCGGACGTGGGGATGGAGGGGATTTCAAACGCCACCAGCCCTCCCCGAGATACGGATTCCGTGGTGTAGATGTTGTCCTTTGGGGTCAGCTCCGCCCTGATCTGGACCGTCACCCCCTCGGCCGGGCTGCCATCTGGGTAGGTCAGCTCCACCTGGAAGGGGTCACCAAAGAGTCAATGTTGTTTAGGTGTCAGGGCAGCAACACTCCCCAAAATGATCTAGACTTGGCCTGATTCCCACGGGAACCCCAGCCAGCTTCTCTGCAGAAATAGACAAGCTGATGGTAAAATTCACAAAGAATTGCAGGAGGCTCCAAGTAGTCAAAGCAACCCTGATAAAGAACAAAGGAGAGCCCCTAACCGGTTTGGCTCAGTGGATAGAGCGTTGGCCTGTGGACTGAAGGGTCCCAGGTTCCATTCTGGTCAAGGGCATGTACCTTGGTTGCGGGCACATCCCCAGTAGGGGGTGTGCAGGAGGCAGCTGATCGATGTTTCTCTCTCATCGATGTTTCTAAATCTCTATCCCTCTCACTTCCTCTCTGTAAAAAAATCAATAAAATATGTTTTTTTTAAAAAAGAACAAAGGAGAACTCACACACTGCAATCAAGTCACTACAAAGCTATACTAATCCAGCGAGTGGTGGTATTGGCATGAGGATAGACATGGAGACCAAGGGGGACAGAGCTGAGAGTCTAGAAGTGAACCCACATATCTACTACGACCAGAGGATCCTCGACAAGGGCGCCAAGACCATTCAGTGAGAACTATCGTTTCTTCAACAAACGGTGCTGGGACCACTGGCTCCCCACGTGCAAAAGAATAAAGTGGGACCCCTCCCTCCCATCCTACATAAAAGGTAACTCAAAGTGGATCCCAGACCGAAATGTAAGAGCTAAAACTACAAAACGCTCAGAAGCAAACAGGGAAAAAACCTCACGGCCTTGGACTTGGCAAAGCAGACACAAGATGCAATCAGCCCGTGCCAGCCGCTGGCCTCACGCCACGTCAGAGTACCAACAGGGCGGGCACTGCGGGGACCGTTCCTCGTGACTCCCCGCCTTCACTCGTGCAGGAGGGTAGAACATGCGACGAGAATGAGGGGCTCAGGAGACATGGACGTTGTGAAAGAAACATGGCCAGGGGGCCCGGAGCGACCCTGGAGCAGCCCTTCGACTGGGCAGGGATTTGGTGCTGGGGTGACAGGGGCTTCGGCCTGTGTGATTCCCATTAACAGCTCTGTTCCTTAACCCAGACGGGGAGCAATTTCCCAGCTGTAGGTGAAATGTTCCCCTTTTCCTGAATGGACACCCCAAGCCCCTTCTGCATGCGTGTCCTGGCCATGCATGTGGTACTTCTCCTCCAGCCGGGACCCTGCAATCAAGGGGCACAGGAGCTGTGTCTCCATGGGTGGGACATGGAGGCAGAGACCCTGGCACAAAGAGAGAAGGGCGGTCCCAACGTGGAGCAAGAGGGGGACACAGTGTGAGGACAGACCACCGTGATCCTGTGGTGACTCTGGGAGGCAAGAGGGCACAGGGCTATGGGTGGTGGGTAGAGAAAGGGGTCAGGGACAGGCCAGGTGACATCAGGCCCTGCTGGCTTTGCTACCCCAGCTGCAATTGGTTTTTCGGTGGCTCTCAGGCAGGAGCGGGGTGGAGGCAGGGCGGGGCCTGTGACCTCGGACGGCCCCTGCTGGCCCCAGCGCTTACCATCCCCATGTAGGACAGACCCGGCTTGAACTGCTTCCTGGTGGCCTTGGAGTAGCGGATGTCCACCAGCTGCTTCTGGACGGGGGTGGAATCGTCAAAGGCCACCTGCTGGCTCCCATCCGTGGCGGTCACTGCGGCCCAGATGCTGACTGTGCCCCGGAAGTGCTCAGGGATGTCAGTCGGGATCATGTCCCTCACGCAGATGTGAAAGTCCTGGGAGCCGTGAATCTGGAGGCAGGAGACAGACAGGCTGTGCTCGCTTGGGGCTGGAGTGGCTTCGAGGGAGGACTTGCAAGCACACATCTCAGGTATAGGGCTCTCCAGCCACCTGTAGGGCCAGGGGACCCTCGGCGACACATGCAATCTATGCTGTAGAGATGGACTCCTGCTGGGTATGCAGTTGTTCCTGTCCGCTCTACTGGGCAGAAGGCGAGGCACTGGCCCTCCAGCCAGACGGCAGGGCAGGGATCTGAACCTGGCCAGCCCCACTCTGGTGCCCTCACTCCCCTCCTGCTCCCGGAGCACAGAACTGCCCCCGGTCAACCCTCATCTTAGGAACCACCAGGGCCTGGCCAATGCACATTCAGAAACATCTGTGGAGTTAATCACTCAGTAATGAGGGAATTAAGGAGGCCACCAGCCAGCAGCCTCCAGGGAGAACAAAGGGGACAGAGAGAAGCTTTGGGTGGGGGTGGGGAACATGATCATAGTGCAGTCGATCGACAGGGTTCAGTGGTGGGGGACCCCACGAAGGCACGGGCTCTCCAGGATGTGTGTGGAGAGACACACTCACAAACATACAGAACAATAAACACCAGATTATAAAACTTGACGTACCCAGGAATGGGAAATCTTGTAGCCACTGTGGAAAAACAGTCTGGAATTTCTCAAATGGTGAAACACAGAGTCACCGTTGAGAGAGGGAACAGACAAACAGACCTTGGCCAGATCGTGTAGGGCAGTGATGGCGAACCTTTTGAGCTCGGCGTGTCAGCATTTTGAAAACCCTAACTTAACTCTGGTGCCGTGTCACATATAGAAATTTTTTGATATTTGCAACCATAGTAAAACAAAGATGTATACTTTTGATATTTATTTTATATATTTAAATGCCATTTAACAAAGAAAAATCAACCAAAAAAATGAGTTCTTGTGTCACCTCTGACACTCGTGTCATAGGTTTGCCATCACTGGTGTAGGAAGAACACTGACCCAGTCGGCAGTCACCAGCCCAGGAATCCACCCCCTCCTTTCCACGTCAGACTTCTTGCGTAAAGTCAGACCCCTCTCTCTAGCAACCAAACAACAGTGGGCCCCCAACGGCCAGGACTTTCTTAATAACTGACAATTTCCCTGATTTTTGTCCCCACTTCCAACTCAGGACCAAATGGAGAAAACGTGTCCCTAACCCATTGTATTGGATCCCACTTCTCAGTAGCTGCCCACAGCTTCTCTGGGCCACCAGCCTCTACTGGGGCACACCTGACGCCCCCTTCTCTTTTTTTTTCACTGTAAAGCAGTGGTTCCCAAACTTATTTGGCCTACCGCCCCCTTTCCAGAAAAAAATATTACTCAGCCCCTGGAAATTAATTTTTTTTAAATTTTAATAGCAGTTACTCATCGCCCCCAAATGCACCTGTGGCCATCACCGCCCCCCTGGATTGCTGCAGCGCCCACCGGAGGGCGGTAGCGCCCACTTTGGGAATCACTGCTGTAAAGCTTTCCCACATCTCCCCCTGCCGCTGAGTCTCTGCCAAACGCCACTGATGGCTGATTCCCTTGCCACAGCAGACTTTGTCCTTATTCAGGTGGTTTTCATTTCATGCCACAACCACTCGACCCAGGAGTGCCACACCCAAGAGAAATGAAACAGCCCCCCCACAAAACCTCGTAAATGAATGCCCAGAGCAGCACCGGCCACAGTCACCAAAAAGTGGAAACAACCCAAAGTCCATCAGCCAATGAATGGGTCAACGCCCTGTGGCCCATCCGTTCTGTGGAATATCACCCAGCCGTTAAAAAGGAGCGAAGCACCGACACACTGCAGCATGGGTGAACGCTGAAAAAGCGAGGCGAATGAGAGAATGCAGGCACAAAAGGCCACAGTGTCTATCACCCCATTTATATGAAATGTCAGAAACAGGCAAATCCACAGGCATAGGAAGTGGAGTCGTGGTTGCCAGGGGCTGGAGAGGGACAGGAATTCACTGTAAAAGGACATAAGAACTTTGGGGGGCCCTAGCTGGTTTGGCTCAATGGATAGAGCATCGGCCTGCAGACTGCAGGGTCCTAGGTTCGATTCCAGTCGGGGGCACATGCCTGGGTTGCGGGCTTGATCCCCAGTGGGGGATGTGCAGGAGGCAGCCGATCAATGATTCTCTCTCATCATTGATGTTTCTATCTCTCTCTCCCTCTCCCTTCCTCTCTGAAATCAATAAAAAAAATATTAAAAAAAGAAAAAGAAATTTGGGAGGTTTGGTGGAACTATTCTAAAACTAGACAGTGGTGATGGGTGCATAACTCTGTGATTATACTAAAAACCACTGAGCCTTACACTCTATGTGGGTATTTGAATTGTGTGGTACATGAATCATACCTCAATAAAACTGTTTTTTTTTTAATTTACATACAATGTCCCGGGAAGAAACACATCAAAATATCAATAACGGTTGTGTCAGACTGTTGGAGAACAAGTTATGGTTATTTTCTTCCTTTTTAAGAATGTTCTAAAGTCTCCATGTTCAGCCCACAAGAATTTTATCTTTGGGGAAATCCCCACTATATACTGTTTTAGAAATTCAAATAAAACGGATGACAATAGAGCGGAAGCCGAGGGCAGACACTGTGGGAAGGGACCCACTGGGCAGACAGCATGAGGTGCTGCTCCTCACCTTCATGGTTCTGAGGACGGGGCACCCCATCTCCTGGCTGTAGTACCCCACGCCATTCACGGTCATGTTGATTGTCAAGGTTCCAGAGACGGGCTTCCCAAAGGTATACCTGGAACAAGGGGACAAGGGTAGCTGATGTCACAAGCAGCAGGTGGTCACTGGTACAGCAGCTGGACGAGGGTGGAGGTGTCCAAGGCGACCTAGTGGCTATTAGCGGGGAGTGCTCAAGGATGCGTGCCAAGATCCTGTCCTTCACACCAGGATGCTTCCCCACCCTGCAGCCCAACCTTCCAGCCCTTCCTGCCGCCCCGAGTCAGGACAGATAACCTCAGGGCCCCGCAGTCCTCGGTACCAAGCCTCATGTTGGACAGAAAAAGAGACCGAGGGTCAGAGAGGAACCCTGGGCCAGGATGTGTGAGACAAGCCCTGGGGTTGGTGACACCACTGGAGCACCAGGCCTGGTTCTAAGTGCCCTTACGAGCTCAGCTGTGAACTAGGGGCTTGACTTCTCTGAGCTTCCGCTTCCCCACCCCGAGGTTGGGAATAAAACTACCACCTCAGGGATGTCAGTGGAATTTAAATGCATGTATGTCATGCCCAATGCAGAGGGGACACCTGCTGACCAGGGCACGGAGCAAAATGGGAGACTGTAGTGAAAAAAAAATAATGCCAGGCACTTCAACTATATTCTAAACTGGAAAACGTGTGTGTGTCCAGCACATCCTTGGATTTTAACACACACACAGGCCAGAGAGCAGCCTGAGCCAGGCCACCACCTCCAGCAGGCAGCAGGGCTGGGGCGGGACTAGGGGCCTCAAAGGAGGCCCAGAAAGGGACAGTGTCTCTTGATGACCCTGGTCAGCCCCGCACTTCGGCCTGGGTCAAAGGCCTGGCCACTAAAGGGGTAACCCCCTCTAGAAATCCCTCTCGGGTCAGCCCACAGCTGTGGGGCTGCCGATGGGGAGGGGTCCAGTTTGGGGCAGGGTGCCTCTTAGGGGAGAGGTATGTTCCAAAGGGGAGGAGCAGGCCCGTGGGGGAGGGGCATCCCACAGGAGGAGGGCATGCCTGTGGGGGGGACCCCCTTCTCACCTGGCCTGCACGGTGCCAGTCTCGCAGGCGTCCACATCCCGGATGTAGCGGGGTGGGTCAATAAGGAGCTCAAACTTGGGCAGCGCTGAAGGGAGAGAGCAGAGCGGAGGGAAGCAGGTGGCCCACCCCCGGGCGGGGCCTCAGAGGAATGCCGGCCGCCACTGCACGCTTACACTGTTAGAACCCATGCCACCCTGTGCTGAGCACTGGCAGCTCTGGGGATTTGCCAGCCACATCCATTTCCTATCTCTGGGGGACCAGCACCCCGTTTCTCTCAGGGGTCCACGTGCCTTGAGTACAGCGAGTCCCATCCCATTCCAGGGGTGTGCCAGTGGCTCCTGGACCAACTAGGGGGCGTCCTGAGGTGCTTGTGATGGAAAGGAGCCTCTTTTGACCCTATGACCCAGCCCTGGGAGCATCCAGCCCCCGGGGCACCCTGTGCAGCTCACAACTCGGGGAGGAGGGACCGATACCAGGGAGCAGCAGAGGAAACTCGCTTGTTACATGAACCGATAAATTCCTTTTCTTTTGCCCTGGCTGGTGTTGCTCAGTGGTTAGAGTGTCGGCCCAGGCACTGAAGAGTTGCAGGTTCAATTCCCAGTCAAGGCACATACCTGGGTTGCAGGTTCGATCCCCGCCCCGGGCATGTGGGGCATGTGGGGCATGTGAGGGAGGCAACCAATTAATGTGTCTCTCTCACATCCATGTTTCTCTTTTTCTCTCTCTCTCTCCCTCCCTCCACCCTTCCACTCTCTCTAAAACTCAATGGAAAAAATATCCTCTGGTGAGGTTTCACAAAAATAAAAATAAAATAAACTCCTTTTCCATTGCTTCCTGAATATCCACTGGGCTTCTGTTGCTTACAACCCACACCCTGACCTCTATGGCTTTCCTCTCAGGATCTTCCTTTCGTTAAAAAATATGTTGATATTGATGTTAGAGAGAGAGGAAGGGGGAGGGTCAGAGAGAGAAAAACATCGATGAAAAACATCCATCGGCTGCCTCCTGCACGCCCCTCACTGGGGACTGAGCCTGCAAGCCGGGCATGTGCCCTGATCAGGAATGGAACCGGGGACCTCTTGGTTCATGGCTCAACCACTGAGCCACACCAGCTGGACCAAGATCTTCCTCTTAAAAGGAGAAGCCCTTGACCACGTAGGGGAGATGTTAGCACAGAAGCAGAGTAACTGGCTCTGGCAGGTTCGCTCCCTCGCTCTTGTCACCTGAGCACTTTCCTTTAATGGCTCTCTCAGCCTCAGTTTCCCCATCTGTAAAGTGGAGATGCCTCACAGGGTCAGAACAAGGAAAAAATAACAAGAGGAAAAGAAGGACTTAAAAGGGAAGGACATTCTGACACATGCTACAACATGGATGGACTTGAGGACGTGCTGAGAAAGAGCCAGGCACCACCGGGCAAACACAGTGTGATCCCACGTACGCAAGGTCCCTGGAGGAGTCAGATTCACGGGCACAGGAAGTAGTGGGGGTGCCAGGCGCTGGGGAGGGGAAGAAGGGAGTTAGTGTTTAATGGGGCAGAGCTGCAGTCTGGGAAGATAAAAAAGTTCTGGCGATGGATGGTGGTGATGTTTGCACAACAATGAGAACGTACTTAAAGCCACTGAATTGTCCGCTCAGAAATGGTTAAGGTGGCAATTTTATGTTACTTACATTTTACCACCATTTTTAGAAAAGATATAACAGCCCAGCCAGTGTTGCTCAGTGGTTAAGCTTCGGACCCAGGCGCCAAGAGGTCGCTGGTTTGATTACTGATCAGGGCACATGCCCAGGTTCCAGGCTCGATCCCCAGGAAGGGGTATACAGGAGGCAGCCAATGGATGGATATTTCTCTCATTGATGTTTCTATCTCTTTCTCCCTCTCCCTTCCCCTCTCTCTAAAAATAAATAAAAACGTATTTTTAATAAAGAAAAGAAAAAACATGACAAAGGCCAGCCTTCCACACTGTGCCTGGCCTTCCCGACCCTCCACGCCTGGGGCTCCTGCCATCCGCCCCCTCAGCATCTGTGTCATCCCTGGGTCGGCGGTTTCTCCCAGATCTGAAGTCCTAGGATCCCGGATTCCCCCACTTACCATACTTCTGGACTTCAAAGGACTTGTTGTACACGTGGCCTTGCATTTCAACAAAAATGAACCATTCTCCCAGCACCGGCTGGTCGGACAACGGGAAGGTCATGTTGGTGATGCCTGTGTCAAGAGAGAGACCCCGAATCCTGGGGCAAGTGTGTGTGCAGGGAGCTGGCTGGGCCCTGGGTCCAGCGGTGGTGAGGTCAGGCAGAGGCGCTCTGGGGACCCTGTGCCTCCCCTACCCCAAGCAGACCCTGGGGAAGCCAGGGGGGGTCTGAGGCTGGGGGGAGGGGGCCCCCGCAGAATATTCACCCCTGCAGGCTCAGGAAGAGTGGACGTGGGAGGGGCCAAGGGCCGAGCAGGGGCTTGGAGGCATGACACCACGCAAACGCCGTGGCCCGTGCGCCTGCCGGAGGCCCCGCACTCCACATCTGGCTCAGAGGCACATGGAGCCCCGAAGCCTCCCCCCACAAGCAGGACTCCGGGTCTGTCACGTGTGTGCATTTCCCGGCTGAGGTGGCACAGCTTTCCTCAGCCCCCACCCCCAAATGCCACCTATCACCTCCCCTTTCTCGGGGCTCCACCTCCCTTAGGGTCAGAGCCAGAAGGGAGAGACCAGTGTGTTAGAGAAAGGAAAAGAATGCCAGCTTCTCAGCCAAGCAGAGCCTCCGACTCCTCGCTGGGGAAGAGACACCTGGTGCCGGGAGGGGTCGGGGTGGGTGTGGGTGGGTGTGGGTGGGAGCGGGGTGGGAGCTGGGTGGGTGTGGGGTGGGTGTGGGTGGGGGGTGATGGCGTGGAAGACCTTCAGTGGGAGGAAGGCTGGGGTGCTGACAAATGAGGCCCCGATGCTCCAGGTCCCCCGTACGGGCAGGTGTGCCCGCTGGATCCCGGGCACAGAGGTACACAGGCGGAGGGTCCTGGACAGCCCACATTCTGCTTCCCTGAAGGATTCTCGCACCTGCCACCTGGAGGTGCAGCCCCAAAGCCAGAAGGAAGAAGGGGAGAGGATGGGGGGGCAGAATTACCACAGCAGACCGGCTCCACGTGCCTCCACTCCATCATCCTTGAGCCCCGGGGGTCCTGCGGGGACACATGGTGAACTGAGGCGGCTGGCATGTGCCCAGCGTTTGTGTGGCCCTTCTGAGCCCTCTCTCCAGGGCAGGACAAGCATGAAGGGCAGGCCCCATATTAGCCGTTTACACGGGAGCGAACCAGAAAGAGCGCGGGATATAGAAGGGACCTGTCTGAGGACAACGGGGTGCAAGGGGGGGCTGGGCCTGTCTCACCATTCAGGGACGACATTAGGACTCTGGGTGCAATCTACAAAGAGACAGGCAGACACACGCTGGCCTGCTCCACAGTGGACCCGGGGACCAGGATGGACCAGGTCCCATCCTTGCGAGGCACTGGGCAGGCAGGGAGCGGTGGTGGGCAGTGGGCGAAGACAGACCAGGCCTTGCTGAGAGTAGGCTAACCAGGCGAGAGTCAAGCTGGGCAGGGCAGGCCACTCACCAGGATGTAGGCTTCCAGCTGCAACACAGACAGACAGAGGCAGTGAGCTACCCCCACCCGAAACCCCCAGCCCTCCGTGCACGTTTCATCTTCGTCCACACAGGGCCTGGTCCCTTGGGACACCCACAGTTGCTGTTATGAGTTGAATTGTGCCTCCCCACCCCACCAAATTCATAGGTTGACATCCTGGCCTCTAGTTCCCCAGAATGATTGGGAGATGGTACTTTATAGAGATAATCCACTTAAGATGAGGTCATTAGCATAGGGCCTAATCAAATAGGATGGTGTCCTTATAAGAAAGGGTGGTTTATCCTGGCCGGATGTGGCTCAGCAGTTGAGCATCGACCCAGGAACCAAGAGGTCACTGGTTCAATTCCCCGTCAGGTCGAATACATGCCCAGGTTTCGGGCTTGATCCCCAGTAGGGGGAGTGCAGGAGGCAGCTGATCGATGCTCTCATCGATGCTTCTATCTCTCTATCACTCTCCCTCCCTCTATCTAAAAAATCAATAAAAACATGTTATAAAAAGGAGGAGGAGAAGGAGAAGGAGAAGGAAGAGAAACCAACCCTGCTGACACCTTGATCTTGGACCCCAGCCTCCAGAACGGGGAGAGAATACACTTGTGTTGATTAAGCCACTGAGCTTACAGCACTTCGTCACAGCAGCCCTAGCAAACTCACACAGTTGCCATTAGCAGTGAGGGTGGCATGGCCAAGCCCTGTCTCAGGGCCTCTGTGCTCCCTGCCTCCCATCACAGTCCTGCCCTCCTTCTCAGACTTGCTTCCGCCCCTACCCAGGGACGGCTCCTCCAGGCAGTCCTCCCGAAACAGGTGCTTTCATGGCTGAACCCCCAAACCACCTGCCTGGAGCCTGGCGGCAGGCCGGTGCTCAACCGTATCAAACCCAACATCGACGCCAACTCTGACCAAGATGCAGAACTCACCGGTGGAGGTCGAGGCTTGCACCGCTGTGTTCCTGACCTCGGCCGCGTGCCTTGCCTGATGCCCGTGTGTGGCTGACCCCGTTAGCTCAGGGCTGCTGTGTGCCTGCATGTGCCCCAGCTGAGCCCCGAGGCCGCTGGAAGCCTTGCACTTTCGATTCAATTTCTTGTGATATTTGTCCTTGGGCCTCACCCAGCGCGGACCCTTGACCAGCCTCCAGAGGAGAACGGGCAGCCACACAAACCAGGGCTCTTCCCTTCTATTGTAAGTGCCAAGCCCTTCCCGGCAATACCTGCACACAGGGCAGATACCAAGGGGCCGAGCCCCAGCCCCTCCCCAGGGAAAACTGTGGGCACAGGCCCCCTCGGATATCTGGGTGCAGGAACTTAGCCCTGTCCGCTCAGAAAGCAAAACACGTACACACCCAGGGCCTGCCACGCTGCCCTGGGAACCCGCTCTGCCCTGGGAACCTGCTCCTGAGGTCCAGCTCAGCCTGAGGAAGGACGCGCCGGTGGAAAAGAACAGGCAAGTGCATCAAAATAGTCGATGAAAAGGCACAGAAACTTGGGGTGACGAAAGTTAAGGAAAAGCCGTGTGTACCCACAGAACTGCCCTTCTAGGCTGGCCACCAGCCACTAGGAACTGTGCAGCGTTATTGTCCAGAATATGAACCCACAGGGGTGGGGCCCCCGTCTGCTCTGCTCAGCGATGTGCCCCGAGCGCTCAGTACTCGAGGACGTGCACGTAGCCCGTGCCCTACACATGTCCTCTCAGGGCTCCCTAAGCGGAAGTCGCCCGCAGACCACGTTCACATCTTTGCTATGCGCACGTGTAGTGTACGTAAACCTCTTCCTTCACAATCAATGCTTTTCTGCAAGCTCCTCTGTGCAGCGGAATGCCAAGGAGAAGCCGAGGAAATAATGGAGCCGGGAAAATCGCCACTTTGCACTCATCACAGCGAGTTTTGTTTCATGTAATTTTGGAATCGTCTGTGGAAGCTAGAACTGGCCGTGAGCGTCTGATGGGTAACTGGGCATGCAAAGAAGCTCGGGCCCCCACAGACTACTTATTGACCACAAAGGGGAAAGACAGACTTTTGGTGGGAGCAACAGGGCAAACTCTACTTAAACCACTGGCTGCACTTACCATCACCAGCAACCAGACACACCCATATAATTTATCATTAAAATATAACTGATCATTAAAATAATCTTATAAGTGCACATGTATATAGGTGTATATACAGAGAGAGAGAGAAAGCACATAAGTGTAGCAAAATGTTTGTAACTGGTGAATCTAGATCTGTGGTTCTCAAAGTGTGTTCCCTCGTCCAGCAGCAGCATCGACTGGGCACCTGTTAGAAACACGGATTCTTGGGCACCTCCCTAGAAATCAGGGAATCGATAACCGAGTCAATAACTCCAGGGAGGGCTCAGCAATCTGTTTGAGCAAGCCCCCCAGGGCAATCAGACGCACACTCAAATTTGAGAACCACTGCTCCAGATCAGGCCAAATCTGGCCCTCTATCTGTTTGTGTAAATAAAGCTTTATTGGCACCCAGCCACACCCATTTATTCACATACCACTATGTCTCTGACTAAGTCTATGCAACAACAGCAGATCTGAGTAATTGAGACAGAATCCTTCTGGCCCACAGACATGAACATATTTACCACCCGGCCCTTTAAAGAAAGTTTGCCAATCCCTAGGCTGAATAAAAGGCACATGGGATTTCTCTGTGCTGTTCTTCCAACTTTTCTGTGCATTTGACGTTATTTCCAAATAAAAGGTTAAAAGAAAATCAATGCCTTCTTCCTGTGAATATGTTTATTTCCGAGGAGAAATGATGGGTTTGATGTGCGGTTATATTTTCTTTCTAATAATGTTAAAAGCAGGGCTAGTAAGATTTCAAATGATAACCCGTTGCTACTTAAATCCTTCGTAAGCCTGCATAGAGGGCACTGGCCACTGCCTGGACCATGGTGCTCCCTTATGGGGCACCTACCATTTTTTTAAAATATATATTTTTATTGATTTCAGAGAGGAAGGGAAAGGGAGAGAGAGCTAGAAACATCAATGATGAGAGAGAATCATCGATCAGCTGCCTCCCGCACACCCCCACTTGGGATTGAGCCCACAACCCAGGCACATGCCCTTGACCGGAATCGAACCTGGGACCCTTTAGTCCACAGGCCGATGCTCTATCCACTGAGCCAAACCAGCGAGGGCCCCACCAGCGTTCTTGCCTACTTCTGTCCCACAGACTTCCCCCGGGCCTCCCAGGAGAAGTGGAGCCCCAGGGAGGGACCAAAATGGGAGGTAAAAACTGTAAGAGGACAGAGGAGAAAGGCCCGTTGCTGACGGTGGTCTGGCCAGGGTGTCTGGGGGGGGGGGTGTCTTCTGGGCACAGGGTTTAGAAGCAAATCTCACCTTCTCACTGATGGGCCTCAGGTCTGGGGTGACGGTGAAGACGCTGATGAGCACTGGGAGGAAGGAGAGAGACGTGTAGCAGCTCCAGGCCACGGCCGGCCCCTCCCCCGCCCGCACCGGCGCCCACCTCGGTGCTGGGGCCTATACACTGGCTTGTCGGTCTGGATGAACACGGAGGCTCCCCGGGCATCCACGCTCACAGAGGTCTGGTTGTGGAAGAGGGTGCCCTCCTCTTCCTGCCGGCTTCGGCCCCACACCTTCAGGAGGGCCTGGCCCCGGAGGCCCGTGGGCACCTGTGCACAGAACATTGGAAATGGGGTGTCACCCTGGAGGGGACCTACGTGTTGGGAAAGCAGCGTGGAGGTGCTCACCTGTGGTGACTGTGCCCCCCAGGGGACGCTTGGCAGTTTCTGGAGAAGGTTTTTGGGTGCCACAGCTGGGGGTAGAGCATCTAGTGGGTGGAGGCCAGGATGCTCCTCAACAGACTAGAGACTCCCAAAAGGGTCCTGGATCGTCGCACTTAGAATAGCTCTGGGTGAGCATTTCTCAACTTGGGTTAGGGGTGGGGGAGGATTCTGCGCCCCCCGCCCTCCCTCACCCCGAGGACACTGGCCGTGTCTGGAGACGTTTCTAGTTGTCATAACGGCGATGAGGGTGCTACTGGCCTCTAGTGGGTTAAGACCCCCTGCCCCCCCTCCCAGAATTACACAGGCCTTCGCTGGTCTCCTGTACAAACCCACAGCATCTATCCTGGGAGGAGGCCCTTCTTATGTGCGGTGGCAGGGGACCGCACACGCTAGTAACTTTAACCCCTGTCCGGGGCTGCCCTATTTTCTGATGCAGCACACTGTTGCCATCTGGGGCTGGTTTGTTCTCTGGGGCGGGGAGGTCCTGGGCACCTGGGTGTTGAACGGCCTCTCTGGTCTCTACCCTCTAGATGCCAGTGGCAACCGCCCACCACCGTTGTGACACCCATAAATGTCTCCAGGCGTTGGCACTGCCAAGTGTCACAGAGGGAAGGGCGTAAACTCCTCCGTAGGAATGCTCCTTCAAAGGAGGGGCTATTACTGCCCGCCGTGCCACCGCACGAAGGACACAACCGCCTCGGACTTCATTCTGACCACGGCCCGGGGCACATTATAATTAAGAATGAGTCTCAATTTAGTCCATTCACTCAGGGACCCCTGTGAGCATATGATAATAGTTAGGGACTAGCTAACTCAGTAAATGCCTACAATGTCAGTGCTTACAAACCCCTGGAAATCAAGGACTCCAGTTTCAAAACCCGCGTCAGAGAATTGCCTACAGTGTAGTTTCGTATGGAAAATAATTTTTAAATAACAATATTCAATGCCGACAAGGCTGTGGGAAATTTGGTCTCTAATGTATGGCGGGCGGTGCTGTGGGCAGGCAATGCTGCATCTCCTACCACCCTGGCCAGGTAGCTCAGTTGGTTAGAGCATCATTCCAATGCACAAAGGTTGCAGGTTCGATCCCCAGTCGGGACACATACAAGAAGCAACCAATGAGTGCATAAATGGGTGAAACAACAAATCGATGTGTGTGTGTGTCTCTCTCTCCCTTCCTCTCTCTCTAAGTTCAATCTATCAATAAATAAGTTGTTTAAAAACTAAAATAAAACAAAGCAGGACCAAGAAACAGGCCTAGATCCTGACCTGGTAACTCTTTTTCAGAGTGTTTGCCAAAGGCAGGCATCCGGCACGCTAATAGCTTTACACACAAAGATGCTCGCAACCTTTGGGTTACATTATCAAAACCCTAAAAACAATTTTTAAAGATCTAAATATGTACAAGGCGAGAGCTTCGTAAATTACTACAGTTGACCTTTGAACACTTGAATTGCAGATTTTTTTCAATAAATATTGGCCTTCCATATCTGTGGGTTTTGCATCCGTGGATTCAACCAACCACTGGGTGAAAACAGAATTTTTGATCTGGGGTTGGGAATCCACGGATGCAGAAGGCTGACTGACTGTATGCATTATTCTACGCCACCCTATCTAATAAAGAGGGAATATGCTAATTGACCCTCACATCATCACAAAGATGGCGGTGCCCACAGCCACAAGATGGCCGGCAGGGGAGGGCAATTATAGGCAACCAGGCCAGCAGGGGAGGGCAGTTATGGGCGACCAGGCCAGCAGGGAGGGCAGTTGGGGGCGATCGGTCCGGCAGGGGAGCAGTTAGGCATCAATCAGGCTGGCAGGGGAGTGTTTAGGGGGTGATCAGGCTGGCAGGCAGAAGTGGTTAGGGGCAATCAGGCAGGCAGGCAGGCAAGCGGTTGGGAGCCAGTAGTCCCAGATTGTGAGAGGGATGTCTGACCTAAACTGGCAGTCGGACATCCCTTAAGGGGTCCTAGATTGGAGAGGGTGCAGGCTGGGCTGAGGGACACCCCCCCCCCAGTGCATGAATTTCATGCACCGGGCCTCTAGTTTTATATAAAGGACTTAAGCATCCTCGGATTTTGGTATCTGCAGGGAGTTCTGAAACCAATTCTTTTCAAATACCGAGAGAATGACTGTAGTTAAGTTTTGGGGGAGTCAAAAGTTATACATAGATTTTCCACTGCATGGGGGGAGTGGCACTGGTAACCCCCTCATTGTTCAAGGGTCAACTGTACATAAAAGGGATGTAATAAGATGCTGTTTACAACAGGATGCAAAATACAATTATAGAGACTTTGACACATGAAAATATGTTTATACAATGTGTTTAGAGAAAACAACAGGAAACACCATGGTGTATACCCTTTAATTGCAACTATGAAAAAATGTGCTCAAGGAGACAAGGATTTGCAGGAAATGTGAAAAAGTGAAAAGTATAGGGAAGGGGCTTATGGGTGACTTCTCCTTTTCTAATTTTTTCCTCATCAATCATTGTTTTTCTCAGTGATTTTTCTCAAAACACATGCAACATTTCTTGTTCCATCCAACTCAATTTATTTCCAAGGTAGGGTTTATGATTTCAAAAGTTCATAGCTTACCTTGAGTTTGATTGTCCCTTTATCTAAAAAATGAAAATAAAACGAAAACGGTTAAATCAGAAGCTGTGTTTTCCTGTCCAACCTCCCTGGCCTGCAGCCTTACAAACAGGGGTTTCTCAAGCCAGAGGGATTTTCTGTGAACAAGCATATACCCTGGGTCACACTAGTCTGGCTTGGGCTGGGCTGGGCTGGGCTGGGCTTGCCAAACTGGCGAGAGTTGAAGGCCGGAGGGAATGGACAAAGCTGAGCTATTCAGGGGAAAGTTGGCCGGCCTGCATACTTGATTCACTTCACCCCTGGCCTCTGCCCAAGGTAAGCTGTGAGGGGAGCAAAGAGAAACTCCAGGGAAGAGGAACAGGAGAAAGAAGAAGAGACTGAGGTTCCTAGTGGACCTTGCTCGAGTGAATCTGACTGGTCTCCCATCGCCTCTCTTCTACCCAAATGGAGTCATTTGCTATTCTGACACCTCTCGGGACTTACTGGCCTTCAGGGTTTATTTAGACATCTACTGTTTCTGCCTCCCAGAATGAATCACCCTCCCCTCTCCCCTTTCCTTGCTAGCCAAACCATGTTTTCCTTGTAGGAACCCCTGACCAGCTCCCAGTCCATGTCATTTGGTGGAGCTCTGTGCAAATCTACATAGGCCTTTGCCCTTATCACAGGGATTGGCTCAGGGTTGAGCACATGATGACCCACATAGGCCAACCAGCACAGGCCTTGCCCCTACCCACAGGGACTGGGTCTGAGTTGAGGATATGACCCAAGATGCACCACTCAGAGGGAATCCTGGGAACCCCACCACCACTTCCTCTGAGCTTTGAGGAGACAGGGGCCCATCCAGAAGTGTGGCCAGGAGATGGCCAGTAATGTCCGTGGACTTTTCTAGTTATGAGAGGCCCTAAAACTCTGCCGCTGAAACCAACCTGAGTTGGGTTTCGGGGACGACCCCTGGAGAGGAACAGGGACTGCCTGCACTCCTCCTGCCCGCCCAATCCCTGCTCCTAGTGTCCACTCCTGGTCGGCCTCCCCGTGTCCCCGCAGAGGACAGGGGCTGCCCCACTAGAGCCCCAGCACATCCTGTTTCCTGTGGCTGCATCCTGCCCATGCTCCGTGTGAGGAATGAGTCACCTGCCCTACCATACTGGGAGCCCCTGAGGCAGGGCCAGGAGCCAGCGCTGTCTTTCCCTGCAATTTACCAAGGAAACTGTGGGAGAGGCTGGCTGAGGGCCTAAGCTCCGCCCAGCTGGGAGCCCAGGTCTGGGTCCAGCACCCTACAGGGTGGGGGAGAGGGGGCAAAGCTCAAGAAAAGGTCTGATACGGGCCCCATCCCACCTCTAGCCAAAGCTGACAGGGAAGGGTGCCTGACTCCATCCATATCTGCACCCATAGAACCTGGACTCAGATTCCCCATTCTGGGGAGGTGGCTGCCCCTCCGGGGCCTTACTCTCTTCATCTGAGAAATGGGGAGAACTCAACCTGCCCAACCTCCCTGCCAGGGCTCTAGGGAGGTGGGATGGGAGGAAGCAAAGCAAGGCCCGCCCTGCCCAAGCCCTGAAGGCCAGCAAACGGCTCCACGGTGCAAAGGGAGGGGAAGCCCCCATCAGACAGCCCGGAGACCTACCCAGCATGGCTCCCTGGCTCCATGCCACTGCCTCGCCCTGGGCCACCAACTGAGCCTGGACCATGACTTCCCTTGGGGAGTTAAAGATGGTCACGCTGATGACTTCCTCCACCCCCGAGCGGAAGACGGAGGGCGCCGTGATCAAATAGCCCCTGCAGGAGAGGAGAACCGTGGTGAAGGCCAAGGGCTGTCTGACCACCCCTGGCCTCACTGCCACCCTGGCAGGGTCAGGGTGCACCCCAGGCTGACTCCACCTATTCCTGACCCTGAAAGCACGGTCACTTCATGCATCTGTATTCCCCTCAAATTGTGAGCTCCTGAAAACCATGGACTGGCTTGTTCACCTCTGAGGCCCTCATTGGGTAAGCATCTGGCCTCTCTGAATCTACCCAGTGCCACACCCCCCTTCGATCTCTGCATTCTGGCCCCTGGCCTTTTCACTGCCATCGGACATTTGCACGTGCCACACGCACAGTCTGAAGTGCTCTTCCTGTAGGCTAAGGGGCAGGACTCTACTCCATCCTCACAGCCGCTCTGTGAGAAGTGTGCGCATCTCCCATTTACAGAGTCAGAAATTAAGTCCTGGAGCAGCCAAGTCATGTGCCCACATCAGTGAGACGCCAGGATTTGAACCCAGACAGTCAGACTCCGGAACCCAGTGGGAGGAAGTAAGGAGCTTCCCACAGAGTTAATTTGAAGAACGAACTCCTAAAACCAAACTGAATGACCCAACCCAGGAAAAGCTTCGCGAACAATGGAACCAAAACATCCCTCTCTCTTTAAAAGCCCTCAGCTTGACTTTGCAGACAGGAGAGCTGATCTTGCAGAAGGAGAAAGAATGTGCACCAGGTCACACAGCCAGCGAGGAGAGGGCCCTGGGTGCCTTTGTGGCCTGAGTCCCAGGCCTCCCACCCACGTTCCTGCCTCCTCGTGTTCTGCAGCTTTCCACCGAACATCACAAAAGCTCGTCCATAACCACGGGACCTGTTCACAAGGCAACAAGTGCCCAGAGCACCAGCAGCAAAGGCAGTGCAAGTCCAACTGAGCAGAACTATGGACACTAGAAAGAAAGAGGCAAAAGGGAAACCTCTGGGCCAGGCATTTCTCAAAATCCTCTCTGAGACAACCCGACACACACACGCAAAAAGATGAATTCAGACCCTTACCGCACATCGAACGCTAAGATGGATTCAATGTGGGTCAGGCACTAAATGTAAAACTATAAAAGCACTAGAAGAAAACATAGGAGAAAGGCTCTGCGAACTTGTGTTAGGCAAAGATTTCATGAATAAGGTACTAAAAGCACAATCCCAATGCATCAAAGAAATCACTGATAAACTGGACTTCATTACAACTTCAGGAGAAGTTTGGCATATCCAAAGGCACACGGGTTCCCGCAGCACTGCCCCTAGGAGTCCGCTGTGCTCTGTCTGGCTCAGACAATGACCAGAGTTCACACTCCCTGGATTCCTACATGGACTGTCCGACTGCAGGACTGACCACAGCCTGCAAGGATCTCGGGGACTTGCCATCTACTATATGACTTCAGCAGTAATGAGAGTGGCCAGAGACCCTAACTTCGAAGGTGCACTGGCCAGACCCAGCAATGACTGGAGTAGTGACCATGGGGTCCCATGTTCTGTCCGACTCCAGCACCAACAAGTGCCTGCCAACTGGATTCCCGAGTGCAGCACCCAACAGAGTATGCAGTGATGCTGGGAATGGACATGAACCATCTCGAGCAGGAAGACCCTTGCTTCGTATGTGATGTGTCGCGTCTGGCTCCTGCACCGACAGGAGGGTGCAAAGACCCTGAGCTCCCTTGTGCAGTGCTGGCCTCAGTGCACCGCGCATGCAATGATCCCGAGTCCTACACGGTGTCCAGAGCACACAGTCACCCGAGGGGCGAGCTGCTACCCTCTAACTCCAGCACTGACTCGGGCGTGCAGTGGCCCTGAACTCCTATGGGTCCTGCCTCGTTTAGGACACAGTCTTTCCGTCCAGCTCCCAGCTGATCCCGGGGGCCCCCACCTGGCGTGTGCTGAGTGTGGAAGAGCACCTGGGAAATACACAATCCACATGTTTGTTTTCCTTGGTCGCCTGTAGAGCCCTCATCCAGGTCCCCGTTAGCATCTTCACCCAAAGGCCCAGAGGACCTGCTGGGACCAGATGTGTTTTCCCTGAGGGCCAGGAGCTGCGCCTGGCAGTGTGCTCGCCAGCCAACCACCGTCGACCCTGGCATCTGAGCCGACACTGGCTTCTCATTCTTTAGACCTGGGAAAGGTGGTGTTTGGTAAAGTGCCGTTTATTTCAATGAGGCCTGTGGCCCGCTGGCCGCGAGTTTGACATGCTAGGGTAGACGGTGTTGGTCTTGCAAATCCATGCTGCTTTCTGGGGCTAGAGATTTCTCCTGAAAAAAAGCCAACAACTTGGGACACAATCCAAGGCTTTTCCTAAAACGAGACCCTTCAGGATGGTGGGCTGAGGCCTGGAGGCCAGCTGATCTGGAACCGCAAGTCAGTCGCTGTGTCTCCCGGCGTCGGGGTTCCGTTTCACGCAACAGTGGTGAGATCCCAGGGCTAATTCAGTCAAACTCTGTTTAAAACCCTTCAGCGAAGGGCCTCTGGTCCTTCTAAGGCAGGAGCTCTCCTTTAGGGCTGTGTCATGCTTTGGGGGGGGGGGGGGCTGATCTGTCCGTGGCAGCGTCCCTAACCCCTACCCAGTAGGTTCCAGCAGCACTGCCTCCCCCTGCATGTGACAAGGCCCAAATGCCTCTGGACAATGCTGAAGGGCCCCGAGGGGACACAGATCGCCCTCTGGCTGAGAGCTGATATTCTAAAAGGTGTCCATCAGCACAAAAGTCTGCTGGGTTCCAACTTCACAAGGTCCAGGGGAGGGAACCCCGTTGCTCGAAGCCAGTGTGCTGTCTTACTTCTCAAACTGTGATCTCAGAGGAGCAGTGCACCCCACGCTAGTCCTCTGGAGACCTGATTCTGGGAACTCCTGAAGGATGGCTGCTTGCAAAGCACCTCGGAAAGGCCGAGCCGGACCAAGAGACTGAGCTGGGGCAGCAGGAGGCAGCCCCCCTGAACCCACAGCCTTGCAGGGCTCACCCCAACTTGGCAGGTCTGGAAAGATTCCCTACGGAGCCAGCTCCTGGGAAAGTCTCCTTAGCAGCCAGTGAAGTCACCTCCTCCCGTGTCAATCCCCCAGAAGCTCTGTAAGTGAACTCCAAGAAAAATGTGGAAGCCAAACAAACACTTCCTCCCCCACCACCACGCCCTGCCTAGGAAAACGAACTTTCTCCCATTTCTCAGCCAAAACGCGAACCTCTTACCTTCATGCCAGGGGCAACTTGAAATCGCCACCCCAGACGACAGCCACGGCCACCCAAGGGGGCAGCGTCTGCAGCCCGAGCTCTGGGGAGTCCCTGTACCTCCAGGGGCCCCTGCCGAAGTCGCAGAGCGCCCCCTTTCCCAGTCCGACCCGTACGTACTGGGGGACAAGAAGCTAGGTCCCACCAGCACGGAGGCTGTGTGGCCTTGGGAGGGTCGCTGCACCTCTCTGAGCCAGTCTCTGGGACTCCCACCCCGGGAGGCGGCCGGCCTCCTCGGTCGCCCGGGGCTACTCACGGGGCCTGGGGGCGGGCGGCGTGCACGCTGTCCCTCGGCGACAGAAGCAGCAGGAGCCCGAGCAGCGGCCCAAGCAGGGCGCCCCACATTTTCGGGCTCCGCGGAGACGCCACACCCAGGGAGGGGGCCGGGACGGGGTTGGACCGGAGCCAGGGTCCGAGCGACCCTGTCCCCGCTGCGCCGTCGGGGACCCTTTGTTCGCAGCCCCCGC